CGCATTTTGGGGCCAGAAGGAGCAATTATATACTTTGTGAGAGAATTTCTTAAGCAGAATACAGCAGAGCACGTCCGCTCGTTCTGTGCGATTTTGTGCGAGGAGGCGCAAAGCTACAAAGCGCATATGAAAGGGAAGCTTCGGGGAATCAAGCCCGAGTTTGACAAGCAGATGGAGTCATTGAGAAACACATGGCTTCTTTGGTTCCTTAAGCATGCCATCTTGAAAGACCCGGGCCAAACCCAGCTTATCCACGAGCTGTACAGTCTTGTTCCTTCAAAGCTGCAGCTGAGCCATCCAATTTCCTACTTCGGCAGGCTTTTCGAAAGGTACGAGCCCCGGGTGCTGGAGTGCTTTATCAATAATTCGGAGACTCTTTTGAAGGCCGGCGGGCGGGAAAAGTTTGCTGTTTTGTGCGAAGCTTTCACGTCGGACTGCTGGTTTTAGTTACCTGCCCTAGAAAAGCGTGCTGATGTTTTTTCGGTGCGTGCAGAGTGCAGTGCAGGAGCTGCCTTTGCGAAGCTTCCGAAGATGGGCGTGCGCAGAGGAGGTTTTGATGGTGGAGAGCAGCGTGCCCGAAGGGACATTAATGTTTTGCAAAATAAACGCTTTTTAAAGATACATGTTCCATGCCAAAGGCTGGATGCTTGCAGCTGGGCATTCGCTGTGGCAGGATTGGCAGCGCAACAAAACAGCGGCAAAGTGTGCTGTGTCTGTTCGAGCAGGCTGGGCGCGAGTAGAAGGCAGTGTTTCGCGTGGGCATCCCCCATGGCAGCTAATTAATGGAAAAAGAGGAAAAAGAAAGTTTGCTGCACATTCTTCATGCAGGCAAAGCAAATTTAAAGGAAAAGAGGCCCGAAGACTGAAATCCAATCGAGAGAAGTTTTATTTTTGCTTTGCAGGGCCGGAAGGAAAGGAAGCCTCCAAATGGAAAGGCTTTTAGAATTCGGGCGATTCTAATTGTTTGGCACAAGTTGTATAAAAGCGCATGCGTATATACTGCTAAGAGCAAGCGGCAATCCAGCGCATACAAGCATTTCTCTAGCCGGCGGACCGTGCAATTTGGCCGTACTCGCATGCGCAGCGGCTATCTCTTCTGGTCTATGGAATACTGGAGTATGCCCTGCATGCCTTTGAACACCTCTTCTCCGCTAGGCATCTCCAGCAGGGCACTCTGGTACGTGTTCAGAGCCTCCAGAATCACGGCGGCTGCTTGGCTTTTGATAGAAAACACGTATTTGTTGCGATTGTATGCCTGTATCGACCTTGGCACAACCCTGCTGCCCAGAGCAAGCACCAGCTCGTGCGGGGTGCTATCATCTTGCAAGCTGGCGAAGAACACGAAGAGGTCGAAGACCACCTTGGCGTCCAGTGCCCTCTCCCGGTCTTTCTCCTCCACATCCATAATAAGCGCGCGAATTTCGTCTGTGTGGCGTGTTGACTTGTCTGCAAGCAAAACAGGAAACATGCTAGAGATGGTGTTAAAGCTTTTTAATTGTAAACACCCGAAAAGAGACTCGCGCGCCTGCTTTTTGTACTCTCTAAAGTACTTCATAATGGCGTTTGCTGTGGGTGCGCAGTTGTCTCCGGTGTAGCTCCCTATTTTGATGATAGTGCCTGTGCTTTTATAGAGTATAGAAGTTGTTTTCTTTGACAGGGCGATTCTTGGAAAAAGGCCGCGCAACATGTCCAGAAAGACTATGTGCTGCATCCCATTGTATTGCGTTACGGAGTCATCCAGCGGAAGGCTGCCGAGCAGATTCGAGAGGAGGCGCACGCCCGGATGCTCCTGGGCGAACTCGATGCCTTTTGCTGCTGCATACAAGGTGAAGTGCTCGGAGAATTCTTGTATCTGTTTGCTTCTCAAGGCGTTCCCGAGCAAGAAAAGCTGGTTTGGGTGCGCAGAGGCTCCATCGACAGCCAAGCGCTCTATGAACCCCCGAGTGTCTTCAGTAAGTTTGGATTCAGAGCATTTCGTGCCCCTGGCCCTCCACGCGTCTGCGTACTTGGCAAGCAGGCATTCAGCAAAGTCCGCAGGCTCTGAGTAGCCGTCCACCGCAAAGAAGGCCTCTTCTTCACCACTCGCAGAAGAAAGAAAAGCCCATGGACACAGGATGGCTGTTAGATGCCCGGGTGAAATGGCAAGGCATAAGCCCTGCTTTATCACGCTGTCTTTGTCTGTGTACTTTAGGGTGATTTTTCCGTAAAGGTCATTCTGTCCGTCGCTCCGGGCGCCGAGCTTCAAGTCGGATAATTCGACTTTTAAGGATTTGTCCACGGAGAGCGACGCGAAAAGCTTTTCCACGTACTTCTGTGTTTTTTCAAACCCGTTCTCAGAGTCTTCATCAATCTCGGAGTCTTCTAGCATCTGTTCAAGCTTGCGTATCCTTGGCCTCTCCTCTTCCGATCTGCCTGTCACCTCTGCAACAATATAGAGCACATTGAAAATTCCGGAGCGCACCTCGTTTCTGTTTTTCCTCGCGTACGCGATGTGCTGGCTCTGCAGGTCAGACACCACGCGGTTCCACTCCTGCATTGTCTCTTTGGTGGCGCACACCTTTGGGGTGACGCCCTTCAACTGGAAGAAAGTGCGCAGAGCCTCTGTTTTATCACCCTCTTTTTTCTTGCCGAGCATGCTGTCCGCGTCGTACTTTTTCTGGACTGGGTCGTGTGCAAGGCAGCAGAAGAGCGCAAACAGGCCGGTCTCCACGCAGTTGCTGAATGTTTCCTCCAGAAACTCGGGCTGTCCTCTCTTGCAGGCATACACGCTTGTGTACGCCGGCAGCATGTTTGGGCTGGTGAACGGGAACGTCTGTAGAATCTTCATTTTTGTCTGAATCATCCTAAGCGGGCGCAGAAGCTTGTCTTCCTCAGCATTTGCCTTGCTCTCCACAAAGCACGCGCTGTATACGTCTTTGCAGCTTTCTTCTGGCAGGCTTTTGAGGATGCTGTGCACGCACGCTGCGAAGTCCAGGGCGTCGTCCTTGCTCGTGATGTACTCAAAGACGTACGCCTGGATGAGGAACTGCGGCGTGTTTAGAAACTCTCCGGTGCTGAAGTCGTTCTGCGTGCACGGAAGTTTTCCTTTGCCTTTGTTGTCTTTGAAGAAGTTTATGACCTGTGCAGCCTTTTTGCACCGGCCTGTCTCAAATGCTATGCTGCCTATCTCCAGTGTGATTGTTTTCTGCGTGGCCTTGATGGGCACGTTTATTCCCTCACTCAGCAGAAGGAGCGCAGCCAGCACGTAGTTCGCGTGCTGTTTGGTGGGCATTCTCTGCAGAGCCTGGAAGAACGAGTCCTCTCGGGCGACAGCAACCGACAGAGTGTGCCCGTCGACGGACGGAAACATCTCGATGAGGGTGCGGTGGTACTCCTCGGCGTAGTTTTTGCCAGCAGGCTTGGAGCTCACAGCGGGCTCCTCTGCAGGCGTGTAGGGCTTGTCATTCTGCGCATTTCTTGTGTATTTGTGCTCTTCTGTGGTTTCAACATCCCCAACGGGCTCCACTTTGTAGTCGGTTTCTATTTCAGGCGAAAAGAAGCGCTTGTTGTGCATGTAACTCAGCTCGGAGTACACAAACC